GTGGCGATATGGTGATTCAACAAAATCTATTGAATCAGATTCTGTTACGTCGAATTACTAGTTACATACATACTTCCTTGTAAATCTTGTTATAGATATTCGTAACGAATGTAATATTTCCAGTTATATAGCAATAAAGTGAAACTTTGTGCATCAAAATGTTAAAAGCAAAGCGTAATCTGTAATGAAGTTCTATTTCGATTATAAATATATTTATCAACGTTTAATGAATGCATCACGCGCTCTCTATAAACGCGAAAAATGGGCCCGATAAGACATATTCTCTGTCGATAAAACAGAGTGACCAAAATTTTTAGATTATTCATTAAAGACGGTTATTGACTAATTATTATCTCTGCAATTCATCAAACATTGCATCACGTTATCTCGAAGGAAGTGGAAAAGTACCGAGGACGATATTTCGTAATTTTTTGTCTCGGCGGAGAGAACAGAGACGCGAACTGCGGCGATCCATTGTGAAAAAAATAAAGTGAGCGGTGATAATATGAACAATACGCGCAAACGAGCCGGAGCGAGTGATAAGTATCACGGGTGAAATGACAGAAACTATCACTGATATATCTCTGATTAGCGGGCACAAGAGTATAAATCAGAATTATTAATATAATAATTATAATATTTAATATCAGTATAAATTAGTATGATAATTATTCGTTATAATAAAGTGCGATCAGGTATTAGGTTTTTGATATATTATCAGAATTTCAAGTGAAAGAGCAGGAAACATGGAAAATTTACTTGTACTACTAAAACAAGCAAAAGATAGCAATGTAGAACATATTAGTGTACTTATTCGATTGACAAAAATTTTACTTATACTCTTTTGCTTTCCTACCAGAAATGTACACCACTCTGCATATGCGTGTTTGGATACTTGATACAATCCAATTAAAACATCGATGTTTGTTGTTATATTTTTTACGTTATGATAGAAGAATATTTTTCTACTATTACATTCTTACAACTGGGATCAAATGTCCTGCTAAATTGAAGCCGAAAGGAAGTATTTCATATATTAAAGGAAATTTCATATTTATCTTGATTAAATAGCTGAAACTACAACAAATTTATATAAACTTTTAGAATATGGTTGGAAACACATTCCAATCATCCTTAGATTTCAACATTGAGTAGACATATGTACTTAAAGTACTTAATTTAGGTGTTCCCGTAAAAGTAATTTTGATTTACGTTCAATTATTACCTATCTATTTATATTAATTAGTATCAACTATTGTGTTTATCGATACATATCTACTAACGTTGTATATGGTGATATGCTTGAGATAAAATCAGAGGCAAAAATTAGATTAAATAATTTTATTTAAAACATATTTTATATATTTGCAATGATTTGTAAGTATTCAAATACTTATGTACGGTAGTGTACATACTTAGGTTCAGCGTCCGCATTTATTTATAAGCATGCAAAAGTGCCTCGGTGATTTCTTTTTAGTTGCGCATTCCTTTCAAGGCCCCTGCAGGGAACAGTCGCGGACAGCAATGGTGTCTGACCCGGCCGTCCCCGTGCACCGACCGCTTTCTACTTTGAACGGTTCAATATGGAGCTCCTCGATGCCCCTTTCCTTATTCACGCTTCATACAGTGGCTCACGAAAGTATTTCAACACTTATAGAAACTTTTTAGAATGACGCGTTTAAATGGATCTAATTCCGACCGAGGTCAAAGCTTCGTTTAATTGCCAAACGCTATGTTACTGTGATGTAAGATTAGATGTAACGGCATCGAAGTGACGCAGTTTTTAAAATAATTCTCGTAAGGATTGGATGGTATCCAGTGAAATTGGGGCATAGAAATTATTGTTCGATCGATTATGATCGATCTAGACTTATTCCGGTCGAAATCCATGATAATTAAAATCCAAACGATATAGGTTAGAATTATAGATAGACTGCGGACAAAAATATTATAAATGCTCTTTATAATATTTGGTAGATAAAACAATTTTCTATCGAACTTCTATTCTTTTAATTACATTCCCAGAAATATGAACTTGCGTAAAAATTTGCAGCATTTACATTTTTCCTTTTACTTCGTTAATCTTTTTACGTTTCTCCGGCCATTTCTGATTTTTAATCTAATTAAATTTTTCTAAATATCTTCATTTTAGACAAAGTATGAAGAAAGTCTTATTGGTATGCATGATTTTCCGTTTCAATTTTATATTAAATCTTCTTGAAACATAAACTCTTTTTTGTTGCTATATTGAGAGTAAGATTCAAATATAAAAATTCGACGGTTTTAATTTTCGTCTAAATCGGATTCATATTATATTTTAACAGATTCAATATTAATTTAATTTAATAATCCGCACATGATCAATGAACTTCCTTTTTCCACTTGAATTTGCTCGCTCGCATAAATAATGTCGATCGTATTGACAGTTATGTTGTTTCAAATAACTGTACCGTATAAAAATGACGAAGGAGCAGAGAGAGAAGGTACAATGTACGAGAAAACGGGGGGCGTTATATATATGTATGTATGTATGTATATATGTATACGTGCAAGTAAACTTACCGGTGGGAGAAGGGAGAGGACGACGCGCACGAGTCAGCGACTCCATAGCAGACTTTACAGGTTAGGTAACGTGTATCCATGGTGGTTTTTTCCCTGCGGAGAAAGTTAGCTTAGGTGCATTTCGAGCGTAAAATCGTCTCTTCGTGTAGCATCAGTCTTCTTTATTTTCCGTCCCGACTTAATTAAATAACCTTTTGATGACAGTTCCGCATCTAATTCGCGTAACCGTACTAGACACTATTGACACTTGTCAAAGAGTCTATTTGTTAGGACGACGCATTTTCAAAATCAGTATTCAATTTTTTGAGGCACTACAATCAATCAATCATATCATAATAAGATTTTCCATTAATTAGCGTTTCATAACGAGATAAAGTTATTTAACAAGTGTCAGCGCGAACTATATATTTTTTCAACTTGTTTAATGTACATGACCGCCATCTTGTTGGCTTGTAAAGGTATTGGAGGTGCCATCTGTCGGCTAATTGAACAATTTATTTTCGGAATTATTTCCGTTTACGTGTGACTCAGGCGGTTATTCGCGGAAATCATCGAAATAGAGATTCATCTTCCTACTAAATGTTGATTATTAGGTTGGGAAACGCGAATGTGACTCACTTTGTAGGAAGAATGTATAACTGCCAATTAATCACGCGAATATATCGATGGAGGTTAACTATGCCTTTCGTAGACCACGGATTTAGTTATTTGCTTTCTACGCAGTTTCTTTGATCCATTACTGTAACGAACGATTTGATTCTGTGTAATTCCTATAGTCAACTTTGTATAACCTAACCTACACGTCTGTCATATGGAACTGTACAATTATTGGAGAAAGAAAACTAAAGTCAAAGTCACTTTGCAAAATTTAAGAGCTCTGTCATGCGTATAGCATGCAACGAAAGTTTCAATCAACTTAGAAGTTACTTCCTCTTTCGAAAGGAAAGCGCGGTACGTTTAAAAAGTCGAATATTCAAATATTGCAAGTGCCTGTTGCAAATGAAAATTTTCCATGACCTTATTGAAGTGTTAGAAGCTTTTTTAAGATATTCTTTTCTGTGAAACTTATTACAGTGGAGAATCCCGTTGCTCTGATACATATAAAAAGTATATGCCCTATAAATAGTATATTACGCATCTCTTAATCGTTCACGCATGCTCGGATCATGCTTATAGGATCATTGACACCGTATCAATTCGTATACAATCTCCACTTAAACTTAAATAATTAATTTAACAACTTTTTATCAACAGAGTACGTTTTATTGGTTTATTAGGCAGTAAACGAAATGTGTATAAATGCAACTGTGTATCATCAGTTGGTCGGGCAGATCCGTACGTTACGAAGCGAGGAATTTGTTCTCGTTTTGCGAAATGAATTACGAAAAGTGCAACATCGATCACGAACGCTTATTTGCTCAAGTTGCAGCTACTTATTACGTCCCATTTTCATGGCAACCGTGCAACCGGAGTGAAGTGTGTTAGAACGTCATCGACGAGAAATTTGCAAGCGAATTATTCATAACGAACAGTGTTGACCATCGATATCACTAACCAATTGCTATCTCTGTTTCTTTCTGTCGAGAGTGCTCTAATTTCATGCGATAGAGTTACAAGGATATCATTCTTGCTAATTAGTCAAACCACATAAAACACTGGTTATAATTTATATAAGCAACTAAATTCCCAGAAAGTATATCGTTATATGTTTGATATAGAAATAAAACTGATTTTTAACTTTTTAATATTTTTATTGTTTATAGTTATTATTAAACTCGCCATATATTATGGAATTAATCACAAAACACATATTAATGAAATTGCTTCTCGTGTTTATTTTATTATGGCTCAACAGAAGTGCATACTCAGTAGATGCAGGTCGTTGTATAGCGAAAAAAATGAGAAAATTTGGTCAATTATTGATATAGAGCGCGCACTACGTAAACACGTAAATACTTACGTACCGCTAGACTGCCCTCTATGGTCGCCGTTTTTACCGCCTCTCGGTAATACCGTTATGTCTACATTTTTTCTCTTGTCTATTACATGTTCAGATTTCTAGATTTAAAGACAATGGACTGATAACAATACAATACCAGAAAATATCAGTATTTCAAATATATAAACTTGTTACTATTTTATTTTTTCATTTGCATACCTGTTTCTTCGAAATGAAATATATTGTATTTTATCGGTAGATTTTTTTATTAACTTTATTGTTCTTCTTGTTTTCTCGTTCGTATGTTTCCTAATATCTTCTTTCTCTCGAACTACTTTATTCACAGAAAGCAATAGAATACAGAAATGATAATAAAATTAGAAATACATATTTGGATCAGATAGACTGATATGATAGACTTTTAACCCTGCTAAGAAGCAGGGTTAAAATATGAGCTGTAATTTCGAAAATGAACAATTTTTTGTTCCTTATTTTTTAGACGCTAAGATGAGATTGGAGGAAGACCTTGTGATTCGTAGGAGCAGACCAACGATGATTTCGGCCAAGTACCGTGCGAGGGAGGAACGTCGTCGCTTGCTTAAAATTTCAGCCGGTAAGCTAAGGAGGATCGAGGACCCAGAGGCTAGCCTGTGCAGATCGGTTCTCATAAATAACGCCGTCAGGCGATTGCAACGTGAAAACCGAGACGAAAAGACAAGGAATTACGGCCTTCCGGTGGTCACGTATCTAAATGATTCCACGAAAGAGAATAACGTCTCCAGCAACCTTATCGTCGGAGTAACAGACGACGAAACGTCCTCCAGGAAGAGGTAAGAGAAACTATTTAATCAAAGTTTTCAAATATCAAGGATCCTTGCTGATATCAGTTATAAAACTATAGCAGCGCAATATGCATAAAACTTCACTTAAAATTAGCATTTTTGGATTCTACTTGACAGAAGATATCATATGTTGCAAAAAATGTCACAAATATAGTACGTCCGAAAACGAAGTTTTAGCTGAACGTTCGATTATAATTAATTATAGATATATTTTTTGTATTTTGTACATAACCTATGTGAACGGTTGCGTTTTCTTGGAAATAGCTTCGAAAGAGGTCAGAGGATGCTCAGAATAACTAATTCGTAGTTGAACTTTCCCGTTCTAGAGGAAGAAGAGTGGCAGATCTTGCTCGCTGTTGTTAGAGATTTGTTTTACATAATATAGATTGCGCAAGTAGCGACAGCTCGCGTGTCGGTTGCGCAATACCTTCGGGCACGATGTCTACTCTCGCTGCCGTCTCTTAATAATTTCCGAAACAACCCATATCATTTTCGTTTTTTTCAGATTAAGCGATGACACGCGGAACGATGGAATCAGCCCCAAGCGACAGAGGCACGATGATCTTGACCTTCAGGACGATGTGTTCAGCGACTTTTACATTCTGCCACCTACTCCGCGATTATTATCTCATATAGACGAAGTCCAGGAACCCGAATCTCCGCATCATCACCATCTGGTGTACTCTGAGGACCGTCTAGGCTCCGTAGATGTTCGGTCGACAACAACGATCATCAGCAGTAGCACCGCAAACACAACCACCACCACTAGCACCAGCACGTCCGCGAGTAGTTGCTGTAACTCCGTCATGTTCCCTACCGAACTAGATGACACTAGCAGTCAACTAACCAGTGTTGCTAGATCTACCGATGTAGGCAGCATAATGGAGGCTTCGGACGTGGTCGACCCTGACAGGATCTGCGATTTTGCAAGGTTCGCAGATTCTGCCAAGAGTCTAGAAGAACGTTTAGTCGAGTTACAGTCGCTGGACGAACATTTTGACTTGGCGAAATTCGAGAGGAACAACAATCAGAGTTGTGGCAGAGCGTTCCACGATATCCAGACCTTCCACAGTTTAGTACCTGGACTGGAAACCTAGAAGGGTGCCTCGTGCCTCGAGCACCCTCCTCTCGTCGTGTCTGGCTCGACAGAAAAAGATGACCACGAACACGATAACGACGATGATGCGGGTAGACGGCTTCGCGGCACATACGAGGAACCACGGCGAGGATGAACCTGAGATCTGGGGGGGGGGGGGAACATTT